GATTTTTGATTTCATAAGAGATATGGTTTATAATAAAAATTGATCTCGATCGAAATCGGTTCCGATCTTGGTGTTGTCAGATTTGGGTGATATTGGTAGTGTTGGATTTGGAATTACGAGATCTACATGCCTATGGTGTTGGATTTATGATTTGATGTGAGATAAGATTTAGGATCAAAATGATCTCGATCGAACGATCAAAATCAATTCTGCCTTCAGATCTTAAGATGAATAAGTAAATGGTGTCAGATTTGGGTGATCTTGGAGTTGTCAGATTAGGAATTTTGGGCTCTATGTGCCTATGGTGTTGGATTTCTAATTTGATTTGAGATAGGGTTCAGGATCAAAATGATCTTGACCGAACAACTGGAATTAGTTCCAACTTCGGGTCTTAAGATGAAGGGGTAAATAGTATCGGATTTTGGTGATCTTGGTGTCATCAGGTTTAGATTTTTGGGCTCTACTTTACTATGGTGTTGGGTTTTTTATTTGACTTGAGATAAGGTTCTTGATCAAAATGATCCCGATTGGACGATTGAAATCAGTTTTAACTTCGAGCCTTAAGATGAAGGTGTAAATGGTATCGAATTTGGGTGATCTTGGTGTCATCGGATTTGGATTTTTAGGCTCTACATACCTATGGTGTTGGATCCTAAAGTTCAATTTTTTTTTTAAAAATTCCAAAAATGCCCCCAGGTTCATTGAGGTTAGTTGAAGCATGCTTGAAGCTTGAAGCACTAGAAAAGAACGAATGGCTCAAAAATGAGGTGCCTACTGATAACTCTGCATTTTGATGCCTTAAGGGCATCAATTCAAGGGTATTTTCGGCCTTAGAGTAGTCAAATTGTGTCCTTTTCCTAGTTAATTTCAATGTTGTGACCTCTGAGGGTCTTTATGCAAATTCTGTGCAAAACTGGGAAGGTTTCATGGTTGAATTGTCATTTTTGGGAAGCTGGTGTGGAGTCCAGCTGAGAAAGGGGTGTTTTTGTGAAAAACTGAAAGCAGAAGGGCACCTCCTAGCTGCTAAACCTAGTTTGGCGCCCCTCCTACTATATTAGCATGCTCCCCACGCCTTAGCAAACCCTAAGGCGCCTTTTAACCCATTCTTTTCACTCTTAACAAACCCTAGCCGCCCCTAATTGCTAAATCCTCACCTTTCATCCCTTCTAATCTCCACCATCCATTCTAGGGCACTATCTTTTTAGCATTCTAACCCTAGGAGCCACCTAACTTCTAATCTTCACCATTTAGCCTTTAGCCATTAAATCTCAACAACCTTACATAATATTGGGTGCCTTCTCCTTTTCTTCTCAGCCTTAGGATCACCCTAGAACTATCCTAACCCTTCATTCTAAACCCTAGGGCACCCATATTTTTGCTAAAACCCAACTGCCACCCCCCTCTTTCTCTCTAATCCCAGTTGTATTCACCCTTCTCTATAAAAAGGACCCAAGGGCTCTTAAGAAAGGGTTGGATTCTGCCCTCAGGTAAGATGGAAGGTTGATCTTGAGAAGTTCAAGAGTAGAGGAAGAGGAGGATGCCCAGGCAAGAGGAGGGGTTCCTACTTGTAGTTTGCCAACACCACTAGTGCCACCTCTGGAATCGGATCCTAACCACTTTTACTTTATTTTAGTTTTAATTTTTTGTTCTTTCAATTCCAATTTTGTTATTTACTTTGTGTAGTTTATTTTCATTCCATTTGATCTTCATTTTATTTTCTACAGATTTGCAATTCGGAGTGATCCGGAGATTGCTACCTCTGATCGGATTACAGATTTTTATTTCGTTTCTTTTGTTAAATTATTTCTGTATTTATTTATGTTTCTGCACTTTTAACTTTCAGTATTGTTCGAATTCTATATTTTTCTCAGTTTAATTAATTAATTTTTATATTTTTGCACTTCCCTCTTGTGTTCTCTTGTTCGGATTTGAGTGTATATTAACTTTTCCCTCGCTTCCCTGTGGATACGACCCGTTTTCATCCCTTTATTGCGTTAGTATTTGTTTGAGAATCGAAAAATTTTATAAATATTAAACTGGTATTTCAAAGTGCTTAACGACATGCTTCGGATCACACCACCTACACCCCTACCCTGGCTGCAAACTTGTCTTGACTATATTATGCAACATATTATATATTACATAATATAAAATAGTTCTAGGTTGGTTTGAAAAAAATATAAAAATAAGTTTTTAAGTATACAAGTAGGAATGACTAGGGTGGAGCGGGGTAAATTTGAGGATCCCTGTTCCTCATGGGGATGGGGTGGGATTAGGATTTCTAGCTCTGTAGGGGTTCGAGGTGGGGCATTTGAGTTTGGGTTTGGGGATGGAGCAGGCAAAACCTAGCTCCGCTCCACCCCGTTGCCATTCATATAAAACAATAAGGAAGGCACATTTGGAGATGCATAGATCTTGAAAAGTTACTCAATATGAAACAAGATCACTACAAAATCTTGAGTGTGTAACCACCCGTGATCAATTGTTGAACCACTTAGGTCAAACGGTTTTGACCAAATAATAGTTTTGATGCCAATTGGACCCAAAATCTTGACCGAGAGGCAGTTCGGACGTTCTAACCAGCATGGTCCACATTGGGTTGAAAACACTACTCCGTGTGACAAATTACTTCTTATGAACTAATGAACCTTGCAAGGAAACCATTAGGGTTGCAACTTGGGTGGATCTAGCCCAAGCTTGGACTAAACCTAGCCTACAATTTTAGATGGGTTGGGCTTGGGTTTTCGATCTTTGGGCTAGTCCGAGCCTAGGCCCAAAAGTTTGTTTGTTTTTTTTTTTGTTTTTAATTTTTCAAGTTGGGTTAAGTAGCTTGAGGCCGATCTAAACCCAACATGACTATATACCTACATACAAAAATATGTAAATACATATTTTCATGTAGTGACATATTGAGGACCTTTAATTAGTGGGGGCATGCATTATTCATAATATATGTATGGCCTTCAAATGGTAGTTACATCCACTAGAGAAACAAAAAACAAAACTCATATCAAATAATTTATGATCCATAAAATTGGTTATTATTTAGAAAAAAAATTTGATTTAATCTATGAGTTAAATAATAAATGTATATTTCAAAATTATTTCATTTTTGGTCGGTCTTAAATTATGTATTTCATTTTTATTTCTTAATTATGATTTTGTTTTTGAGTCAGTTTTAAAATATATGGGTTTATATTGTTAAAAATATTGACATAGATCTAATTAGTAGTATTTACTAATGAAAAATAAATTAAATATAAGATTTAATAAGAGAAAATGAGAGTTAATACCTTAAGTATAAGACTTAATGAGAAAGAATTAAATGAAATGGAAAGTAATAATTGAAGTTACATTTTCAACCCTTATAATTAGAGATAGACTAAATACACAAATATGGACATTTTAGTAGCCATTAAAGGTACAATAAAATGATTTTTATACCCTTTCTCAAATAAAAAATAAAGAATAATTTTAATAAAAAAAACTTTCATTATTTATAGGGGAGCTGGGAATAAATACATTTGAGAAAATAATTTCCCAATTCTGATGTGGACTGAACACTAAAAATCCTTTTGTTTTAAGATCTCTATTTTTTTATTAGAAGATATTTCCGATGCACTGCTACAAGAGCTATGAGGACTGTTTAAGCTCAAGCACATGACCGGGATGATATTTGCCCACGTTTAATTGGATACATTGCATGTAGACCTGTTCATGGGCCGGAACGGGCCGGGCTCGGGCTGGGCTTTGACTCTTTATTAACAGAAAACTGTTAAGCCCGAGCCCGAGCCCGGCCCGACCAACGGGCCTACAAATTTGGGCCCGAGCCCGGCCCTGATGAAAAGCCCGAAGCTCGAGCCCGAGCCCGAAGCCCGATCTAATAAAAGAAATTCAAAATTTTCTGACATTTTCTATTTTAATTTAAATGTTTTTTCCCCTATTTAAATGAACAATGGATCTACAAGTGAATCAATGACCTCAAATCAAAAAATTTATTCAAATAGACATCACATAGGGTTTTTACTTAGGTTTAACTATAGGTCGGGCCGGATTTACTTAAGTTTAACTATAAGTCGGGCCGGGCCGGGCTCGGGCCGGGCTATTTTAGCAAAGCCCGAGCCCGGCTCGAATTTTATGCGGGCCGGGCTTTTTGGCCCGAGGTTAAGCCCGCGGGCCAAAAATCCTGTTCAAGCCCGTCCGGGAGTCGGGCCGGGCCGGGCCGGCCCGTCGGGCCACCCGGCCCATGAACAGGTCTAATTGCATGGGATGGGAGTCATGGGACATGGGAGTAGGACATAACCAGCAGATCCAAGATTGCGGGGGAGGCTGGGTCTCCGGGTGGGCTGTGGCCCTGTGGGCTCGGGGCCCTGTCCAACAGAGCCCGGGCCAGGGCCAGACCACCAACCGGCCGGCCCTCGTTCATCCCTAATTTCCATAGACCGGCAATACTATACACTGTACAGTGTATTCTGGGGACAAGTGGCCAAATAAAGGTAAAAAGCGCAAAAAGGGCAAAACGTGGGATTTGGAGGCGGTCTCATTTCATCTCATATGCATTTGTTTTTCCAAAACCAGGGGTAGGCAGGCTAATTTCTAATATAATAAATATTAAATAATAGTTTCCCATCGATGACGATGACACGCTCGCAAGTCAGTCAGTCTCTCCGTGTCCGTGGGTGGGGATCTGCTACCAACAAACACTCCATACATTTTCCAACAAACCCATTCATCAGTGTATAGTATATCTATGGGAAAATGTTCCCAATGTACGGCTGCAGTGGTTAATTGGGATTTGTTGGGAGCGGAAGGTTGGTAGCAGGTGTGAACTCTCGCTGCGTTGGTTTCCGTGGTGGCCTGTGTTGTGTTGTGAATAACTTAAAATATAATATTTACTTACAAAAAAACGCTTATCCGGAAGAATAAAAGAAGAAAATTAATCTCAAGTGGTGTGGCCTGTGTTGTGACTTGTGACTCGCTTTTCCTATTATTTTATTTCCAACAAAGGGAAAAAGGGAAGGGGGGGCCTAAAGTAAAGTAAAGCCTAACTTTACAGGAAGAAAAAGGTGGGCCTTGCCTGCTTGTACTTCTATCCCAAGTTCCTCCACCACGACACACCACACCACACCAGACCCCCGAGAATCTCTGGACGATTTCTTCTTCTTCTTCTTCTTCTTCTTCTTCTTCTTCTTCCATTAGGGTTTTATGCAAAAATTCTTTGCAACAAAGCTTCGTAACCCTCCGAGCTCCTGTTCTCCCCATTCTGTTCCCGTCATTGCAGGTGTTTCTCTCTGTTTTCGTTCCAATCTCACGCTTTGGCTTCTCTTTTAAGGTAATTCTCTCAATTCTAGTATTGTTTTTTACATTTTCGATATTCTTCGTTTTTTCTTCAATTTTTAGAACGGAGTTGACGGTTTCTTTTTTCAATTTTTTTTTTTTTTTTAAATTAAGGAGTTCGAATTCTCATCGGCACATAATTCGTTTCTTTGTTTCATCCGATTTTTGGTTTGTTCGATGACGAGGAAACCGTGTGACAAGTTGTTGTTTCATTTTTGAGGTGTGCGGTGTACCGTGCACATTTTTCTTGGGAAACTATTTCGGAGTTTCAGGCTAACAGTTTCTCTGCTTGTTGTATTTATGATTTACTGGAATTACTGAAGGAGGAGATTCTGATGTAAGCTTTCTCGAGAAGTTGTTGATCAACTGTGATGGTTTTCTCGTGATCTGAGGGAATTCTGTTAAACCTCAAGTTTTCAAGTATGAATTTTGATAGGTCAACAATGTAAACTATGTAGTTGAAGTCCTTGTCGGCTTTTTTTCTTTTTCTTGTTTGAGTTTTTCAGTTTCAGGGTGGCTTTGAACCGTCAGCTTGTGTGCAATATCTAATCTTTTGTTCTTATGATAAACAATTAAAGAAGAGCTTTTGAGGGAGAAATTTTCAGTTTCCTTACATTTAAGAAAGAATCCATTAATTAAATTCTTCCTTTTTTTTTTTTTCGTTTTGAGAAGAACCGGATCTCTTTTATCCTTTATTCCCAGTATTCTTGTATATTTGGTTTAAAAATTTCTATCGGGGTAAGAGAAGGGAATGGTTGCGTTTAAATACAATTGTTCGAAGATCTTGACTTCCATCGAGTCTTTTATAAATAGCAGTTTTCTGGTCTATTTTTCTCTCTCGTCTCCTCCTCCAACTACCTTTCCTTTTTATGTTAAGAAAGATTCTTGTTTGTACCCTCTCCCCCATTTCTAAGATCGATGATGCTCGACAAATTTTTATACAAATTTTTTTCGAAGCATTCATGAACTTTGTTAATGGGTAAAGATAATGCGTGACTGCATGTATCATATCAATACAACTTCTCTGAGGTTAGTTCATTTGCCATTTTCTTGGTCGGAGTGTTTGGTAACATTTTTTGGAGTGTTGTTGCCTGGAAAAGTGTGTAGACAACAATTTTCTCTTAACATAGATGAAAATAGTCATCAATCAATCTTTGTTTTTTGTACCTCCTTTTAAACAATAAAATATAACTCTACAACTGTAAATTGTCAGCATTTAAAGTTTCATCCTCTTGTTTTTGTTCTTTATACTGATACCATTTTCTTTTGTTTTCTGCAAACTGTTTTCTCTTGTTACAGGGTTATTACTAAATTTAGAAGGTTGTAGACAAATTCAGCAGGATTGTGGTTCTTTCAGACAGCCTATTTCAGTGAAATAGTTATTATCCTGGTAACACACTTTTTGAAGTGTAGACCCTATTCAGGCTTCCCCTTTGGTTGGTTAGCTCTGTTCCCAGGGAAAGGAGTCACTGAAACATGGGTCAGCTTTGCGATTTCTGTGGGGAACAAAGATCCATGGTATACTGCAGATCTGATGCTGCTTGCTTATGCTTGTCCTGTGATCGAAATGTTCATTCTGCCAATGCCTTATCAAGACGTCATTCAAGGACTCTATTGTGTGAAAGATGCAATTCCCAGTCTGCCATAGTTAGATGTGTTGAAGAGAAAATCTCACTTTGCCAAAGTTGTGATTGGAATGGGCATGGGAGCTCTACCTTGGGTTCAGCACATAAAAGGCAAACAATCAACTGTTACTCTGGCTGTCCTTCAGCAGCAGAGCTTTCTAGGATCTGGTCATCTATCATTGATTCCCCTTCTATAGACAATTCTAACTGCGAGCAAGAATTGGGTTTAATGAGCATTGATGACAACAGTATCAGTAACCGTTGGGGGCCTCCTGAAGATAACAGCATGATAGACCTTTCTGGTGACAATATACTGAATGAGCTGGAAAATATGGATAAATTTGGAATTTTGATGGGATCATCTTCAGTGCCTGCTCTAAACCCCATTCCTTATGATGTAGATCAGCTGGCTGGTTCCATGGATTCAACCACACCAAAGGTGATTTACAGCTTTGGAATATCTATTATCTAAAAGGTGCAACAACTTTGGAATTTGGAGGCCTCAGGTCCCAAAACATGTGCTGCATGGACAATCGAACTTTTACATACAGATGTGCATTGCAGACATCCTGTGGAATGGGGCCCATTATTCAATTGGTTCAACATGAGAGGTTTCCCATGCTAAATTTTTGGGACTGATTGGATATCCATATCTTTTCCTAGAATTTTTTTTTTGGATTGTTCTATGTTTTCCTGTTCTCTCCCTAAATTATCCTATCGATTAAATGCTTACGTTTATATACTTTTACTTGTTTAAGACATAATGGACTTTACATGGGGAAATCTCTTCCTCAATGAAATTCTTTTTCCTCCTCATGAGTGGTATTTTACTGTGTTTTCATTAAATGATTTGGACAGCCCTTTCCATGCATGTGAAACTGCATTATACTTAGGGTCTTACCTAGATTTACTCTTTTTCATAATGCAATGCATGCCGATGTTGTTGCTTCTTTGCAACTGCATTCACAGCACAGAAACCAATATCATTCAGACTTCTGAATGACATTTGAATAAAAAGCTAGTTGGTGTTTAACTATGATATTTCAACAACTAAAAGCTTAGCTTAACGAAACAATGCTACTAGGTGTCACTATTGGCATGTGGATAAATGGCTACTTGGTACTTTTGTTGAGACACAAATAAAGGAAATACAAGTGTACAAGAAAAGGCCACTCCAGCCTTTATAGAATGTAACTAACAGCCAACCACTAGAACAAACTAACTAACAAACTGGACAAGTGGAGAGGCGGGTATAACAGAATTGTAATAGTAGTATATAAATAAGGAAAGGAAGCTAGGAGGGGATTATCGATTTGGGAATACAATCTCTCTTTCTCTCTCTCTCTATCTATCTCTCTCTCTCTCTCTCTCATTTAGGAGGCAGGCTCCCTCGAAAGAATCCCTGAGTTAGGCAGTTCCTAACAAGTTGGTATCAGAGCCAAGATGCCAAGCACAAGGTCATCTGCAATGGAGAACAGAGTCAACAACATGGAAGGAGATATGCAAAGAATATCGGCTGACGTCAAAGAAATCAAAGAAAGCTTTGCATCCTTGCTTGAACAACTGGCATAGGCACCACCTGCGCCGAATCCGGAAGAGTGCAATGACACCAATCATTGAAGCGGATCAAGAATAGCAAGAATCGAGTTTCCCATCTTTGCAGGGGGAGATCCCACATCCTGTCTTCTGCGAACAGAAAGATACTTTGATTACCATGACATACAGGGACCTGATCGTGTCTCATTAGCTTCTGCACACCTGGAAGGAGACGCGATCGTCTGGTACCAGTGGTACCGGCGACGGCACCCAAGAGCCACATGGGCAGATTTCATCGACGCCTTAACCATGCGATTTGGAGTCTCGGCCTTTGAGAACTATGATGAAAGCCTCGCTAAGCTACGACATACCGGCTTTGTCCAAGATTATCAGATGGCRTTCGAAAGATTAGCTGTGCGTGTGCAAGGTTGGCCAGAAAGCGCACTTGTTGGCAGTTTTGTTGGTGGACTCAGGGAAGAATTGCGACTGGAGGTAAAAGCCATGCAGCCCACCACCGTTCTTGAAGCAGTAGCATTAGCTCGACTACATGAAGACAAACTGAATCGGGCAAGAAGGATTAATCAACCTCTAGGAGCTGTGATCATAACAGGTATATCAAACCCAGAACCAGGTATCTTGGGTAAACCGGAGCCCAGATCAGGAGTAGGAATCACAGGCAAGGACGCCAACTCTGGTTCAGGCCCCGGCTCAGCCAAGAGGTTAACCTGGGCTGAGATGCAAGCCCGTCGGGAAAAGGGCCTTTGTTATGCATGTGAAGACAAATTCGGGCCAGGCCATCGCTGTAAGATCCTTCAAGTTTTCTTCCTTCAACCTGAAACCGAATATGTCGAGAAATCAACAGACATTGAAGAGCCAATTGACAACCAAGAATGGAGGCAATGGACAAAGGAATACCCGGAAGTATCCCTGCAAGCCTTGATCGGTCTTGCTTCTTCTCAAACTATGAGAGTAACCGGACTGGTACAAGGGCGCCATGTGTCAGTTCTGATAGATAGTGACAGCACTCTCAATTTCATTACCTAAACATTGGTCAGACAACTAGGGATTCCGGTCCAACCATGTACAGCCTTCCGGGTGCACGTAGCTAATGGGAGCAAACTGGTGTGCGATAATACGTGCACAGAATTAAAGATGAAGATACAAGGACATGAGTTCGAGGTAGATCTACACCCCCTGGAAATCAGTGGAGCGGATGTAGTTCTCGGAGTCCAATGGTTAAGACAACTAGGGCCGGTGATATGTGATTGGGCTCGCCTCACCATGGATTTTCAAGTGGGCAGCTCACAGGTGCATATTCAAGGGCAGCTGTCCAAGGGTCCAGGACCCATTAGTCTCGCCTCCCTAAGGAAACAGGCAGTAGACCCAACCCACATCATATTAATGCAGATAGACTCCCACGGGAACAACTCCATTCTAGCCCAAGGAAGCAGATCCGAAGAAGGCCGCACACAACTACAGCAGCTACTTCAGAAGTTCTTAGTGATTTTCCAAGAACCTAAGGAACAGATTTCAGGTGGATACGCAAAGGGAATCACATTGAACCAGAGGCATTGGTGGTATGGTCAGGTCTCCCAATTGAGGTTGCAACTCGGGAACCTTACTTGGATTTACAGAATAGATTTCCACATCTTGACCTTGAGGGCAAGGTCGCTTTCAAGGGAGGAGGGACTGTTGAGACACAAATAAAAGGAATACAAGTGTACAAGAAAAAGGCCACGCCAGCCTTTAAAGAATGTAACTAACAGCCAACCACTAGAACAAACAAACTAACAAACTGGACAAGTGGAGAGGCGGGTATAACAGAATTGTAACAGCAGTATATAAATAAGGAAAGGAAGCTAGGAGGGGATTATCAATTTGGGAATACAATCTCTCTTTCTCTCTCTCTCTCTCTATCTATCTCTTTCTCTCTCTCTCATTCAGGAGGCAGGCTCCCTCGGAAGAGTCCCTGGGTTAGGCAGTTCCTAACAACTTTATTATGATATTTGAACAAGTAAAGCTTGATTTAAAAGAAAAGAGCCATCGAATATCCAATTATTGAAATATAACACCATCTCCTAGCAAGTAAGTTGAATATTCCCTACAATGTAACAAGGACACTCCATTTTTGAAATTAGATGATGTCTGATATCCATGTGCCAGAAAATAACTGCTTTATTTAGGTGGACAATTATATACTGCATGTCTCTAATTTTTAACAATTTTTGTGCTTTTAATGTTTTAAATAAACCAACTTACTACGTTTTTATGCTGCATACATGCAAACAAAATTGTTTTAATAAGGTTTCTCATAATATATCAATACATTGCACATGTGGTCAGATTTTACATTCTATTTAGACTGTACTTGTGAGTCAATTTCACAGGCACTACTTCCATTTCCTATCTCAGTCACTTTCTGAAGAAGAATCTCCTGAAGCCCAAAATATTAATTTTGTTGACAATTCTTGTGCACTTACAGTTATTTAAAATTTTAAGAATTGAACTTAACCTGGAGTAGCTTCCATCCAGATTTTGCAATGGGCATCTTACATGCTGTGGAGTGGCTTGTTGCTAAACCTGTGATCATGTTTTACAGTTGGCTTTATCTCTTTTATGCTACAAGGTTATGATAGCTTCCTTTTTCTGTACATGGTTAAGGTAAATGTGTGTGCAAAATTCTTATGAATTTATCTTTATTGCATAGAATGATGACTCGGTTTAGTAAATGAGACAAAAAGTAGGGAATAATCTAGTTACCTTCCAATTGTACTCAAAAAAGTTTTATATCCCTGTTTTTCTTAAGTAAATGTGGAAATCCTTCTCCTATCCTTGCAGCTAAGCTGTCCTGGAACAAAGGACCTAGGACTTGGTGAAGGTGATGATCTTTGTGAAGATTTCAGTGTCTCTGATGTTGACTTAAATTTCGAGAACTATGAAGAGCTTTTTGGCATATCCCAAAATCAATCAGAGCAGCTCTTTGAAAATGGCGGGCTTGACAATCTGTTTGGAATAAAGGACATTTCTGGTGCTGATTCCAACTATCAAGATGATTTTGTAGCAGAGGTTCTCTCCACAACCCATTCTTCTATAGTATTGCATTTTTTCTTCTTGTATACTGTTATTTATTATGACTGTTGTTGTTTGTAAAGGAGCTTCAAAATTATTGGGTGCATATCAGGTTCCATGCTTTCTTGACAGTTAAGTATGTCAATAGTGTGGTACATGTCAGGTCCATCTTGACTTGACTGGACTAGACCCTGACTCTACTCAATGGAGCAGGGTGGGGTCTTTTTTGACGAAAAGACACCTGGGGGTGGGTGGCTGGGTAAGATAATATAGTGCATATAGATCTAAAGAAGATATTTAGCAAGGTCTGCACATGTAATCTAAATTTAACCTGAACCTTGACAACTCCTCCGCTAACCTGAACCTGAATATGGATGTATCAGATAGGGGCACAGCTAGGTGTATTGTAAAAATGAAAATAACACATTGATTAGATTATACTGTTTTTATTTAGAAACTTTAGGTAGGTTCGGACATTCCATTGGATCTTTTTCTTGTAGCTTAAGATATTTTCTTAAGAAAACATTGACTGAACTTGTTTCTAGAGGTTGAGATCTTTTTATTGTATCTATTTCACAATACATTATTAATCAAATTCAAACTAAGAAATTGATGGTGAGCCATGAAAGCATGAATTGACAAATAACTTGAGGTCAAAATGGATAAATCTAAACCTGAAACTCTAATGGATGCATATTCTGAGTTGTTTGGGCACTAAATATTTGCAGTGAAAAGTAACTTTTTCATCTCCACAAAACCCCAAGAAAGAAAACCAGTAATTTAGAAGCAGATTAGTCAAATGTGGGATTTTTGTATTTTTTGTATTTATGGATATTAGGGTCATTGTCTTAAATCTTCAGTTGCTATTTCTGATTATTTGAGTCACTACTAGTCTTTTAGTAAGACTAGGGGTTGGTTTTACATACTACATGAGTTAGTTTCCCTAAATCCTAATTGGATATTAAGAGTCATATGTGGCGTTTGGTAAAACTGAACTCTGATCTCTGAGAAAGCAAAACAGATTTGAGTGTGGCTTCAGACTTTGAATATCAGTAAGTTAGAGTTTGTTTCTTTGCTTTTGTATCCTCTAAATGTAATAGAACTGTGTGAATATATCTAAATGTAATAATATCTGAAAAGAGATTGCTTTACATATTTATTCTTAAAAAGTTTTCTTTTTTCTTTTTTTTTGTGGATGATAAATAAAATGCTTTACTAGTAGCCCTGTGCCAGAAAACAAAGAGAAAAGTAAAGGAGATATGGCAAGCGACGAGAGAGAGAGAGAGAGAGAGAGAGAGAGAGAGAGAGAGAGAGAGAGAGAGAGAGAGAGAGCCAATACTTCAGCTCTAAGCGAGTCCCCCAAACCTATTGGACCAGAATACAAAGCTAGGGTTTTTCCTTCCACATCTCTAAACACACCCCCTATTCCAGAAGGTCCGGGGTTCCCAATAGAGCTGCCATCAAAGTTCAGTTTGACATTACACTGCATAGGAGGGGACCAAACTGCTTGTATGGTAGGTGATGAAGTAGAAGACCTTGCTAAAATACTCCAGCCTCTAAACAAATCGTCTATAGAGACATCCTTGAACAGTTCAAGAGTTTTTAGCCAATGTACTGCCTTGATGGTGATCCCTTCAATAACTTCGGGAGCTGATTTTTCTTTCCCTTGGAAAATCCTATTATTTCTCTCTTCCCACACAGCCCACAAGATAGTTGCCCTTGTTATTCTCCACATCACCCTTCCTTTCTTCTTTGGTTGTCGGAAAAAGCTAGGGTGAAATAAATCCGCTACGCTTGTGGGAGGAGTCCACCTATAATTAAAGAGAGAGGAGAACCAATCCCAATTAGAGCACTAAAAGGACAAGAAATTAATAGGTGATTCATGGTCTCACCATTCCTCAAGCAAAGGCTACAGACATGGGGTGACAGCACAAATTTGGTCTCTTTCTTTGAAGCACTTCCAAGGTATTTATTTTTTGGAGAACCACTTCCCAACAAAAAGCCCTTACTTTTGGGGTGACTGGAGTGCTTCAAACTTCTTTAACAGGAAAGGAAGAAAAGCTAATATTACGTTTTCTGGGTGACATTTATGAGACTTTTTCCTTAAGTTGTATCCATGGCCAAATTGGGATAATACTTGGAACTTTATTTTGATTGGTAACATATCAAATGCATGGTAATATTTTAGGCCTGATGCATGACTTTCATTTTATGACATGCAAGCCAGAAAAGGAGGAAACTACAAAGCTTCCTCTAATTATTATTAGATATAGCTCTGGTGACACATCATGCTTTGTTGGTTGCAGATTGGACATCTTGCCAGAAGATTGTATTTATAAGATCAATGTTCAAGGAACAGAGACTTGATTTTAGCTAATAACTTTGTTTTTAGACTTTTAGTGGTAAAGAGTATCATTAAAAAGGGCATGAAACAGCAAAAAAAAAAGGTTTTATTTTTAACTACAACCCTCCCACTGTTTGAACTTAGTCAACTCTTCAAGTCCACTGACTTGGTAACATTGCCTTGTGAATAGTACTAACAAAATGTTTAAACTATACAGTTAAGACTTGGTAGGTGCATTCTTGCATACTTTTTTTGTCATATGTACATTTTCAGTCACAGATAAGTAATTATACAGGAGATGTTGAAATTACTATGACAGGAGTCTAAATTAATTGAATTGATTGAATTAGCATTCAGTTGGGTACAAACATGACTGAAATTTATAGAAGGGTTACTGCAACTTGGTAGCACTGGTTAGTAGCCCCCAATCCTTCCATAGCTATAGACTTAATTCTAGAAAAAAATCATCCCATTTACAAGTGCAAGAGACATATTGAAGTAATTCTAGCCTTTGTTCTTTTTCTCTTTCCATATTCTCTAACTTAGATTTTTATTATGCATAATTATAGCCTTCTTTAGTTGCTAACTTGATTTAAAATTGCTTTATTAAATACTTATTATTATAGTGACTTTTTAAACATTGAAACTAATATATTTAACATACCATTATATTTTATATATGATGATTTGCTATATTTTGAAGGAAGCTTAATGTTATTAATAAAGAGAGTTGTTATTTTTATTTTAAATTTAGAAGGATGGTGATTGGTATATGACACTTGGTGACTAAGCACTTCACTGTCGCCTAGAATTGCCTATAATGTCATAACAACTATGATAATAATGTTTTTGAGAAGATTAGATTTCTACTTCTCGGGTCTAATTTATAGTTTGCAAACAGGGTTAGTGCAATTTATCATCTTTTAGAATATAAAAAGAAATAGGCAATCATGTCATGGAAACTAATAATGGATTAGCACTGTTTATGAGATGGTATTAAATGTAAAATGAACTTATGGAATGGACATCTATGTTCTTTCCCAGGGGATGTCAGTTGGAAAGATACAGGCAATGCAGCCTACTTGCAGCAATGCGGCATCTGCTGATTCCATGATGAGTGCAAAAACTGAACCAAACCTTTATTATCCACCTAGGCAAGCTCATTCTGGACTCTCAATTTCATTTTCTGGCATGACTGGAGAAAGTAGTGGTGGAGACTACCAAGATTGTGGAGTGTCCCCAGCACTTCTTATGGGTGAGCCACCATGGCATCCTCCTTGCGCTGAGAATTCATTTCCATCAACTAGCAGAGACAGTGCTGTCATGCGCTATAAGGCAAAGAAGAAGATACGGCAGTAAGTGTTGTAAATAGGGCTTAATTTTCATGCATATGTTTTCTTGTTTGGTAAAATTTGGTTTAGAATTTATACACATTTTCTATGGAACAAGAACATAGGTACAAAAAAATCAAGTATATGAAGAGATAGATATTTCATGAATCTCTGTCAAACAGGTTTGAGAAGAAAATAAGGTATGCTTCTCGCAAGGCAAGGGCTGATGTAAGAAGGCGTGTGAAGGGGCGATTTGTTAAGGCTGGTGATGCATATGATTACGACCCACTATGCCAAACCAGAAGCTACTAAGAGTACATATCAAACCATACCCTGAAAGAAAGAGATACCGATCCCCCCTGGCTTTATGTAATGACGAATTGTTTTGTTGTCACAGGTCGAGGTGGTGAGATAATAAACAGGCGGATGTTAATGACGGGCTTTGAAACTAAGAGATAAATAAGTTTCAGCCTTTCATCACGAGCCAGTGGCAATGTTTATTCTGACAAAAGACACTGAAACTGCTCTTGCTTCTATACGACTTGAAATCTAAGGGTTGTAATTACCTTTTTTCCCCAATGTTTTCCTTCTTCTCGTCACTTCAAATTGGCCAGGATTTCGGCTGTTACTCCATAGCAAGATGTGTGACGGTACCTCGGCTGCGGGTTTTCATGGTTATTTTATTTTATTTATTTATTATTATCTGAGATATGTAGCACAGGATCTTCTATATATGTCATTGAAGGCGAAAGACAGATTTTGTTTTTATCATTTCATGCGAGGGGGACCATGTAGATATTACTGTAAAGAGGGAGGAAAGAAAGAGGACAAACTGGTTTTGTAACTTTTTGGTTTTAACTGGGAGTTCAAACTGGTTTTGTAGCTTTTTGGTCTTAAGTTTTAATTGGGAGTTCAGGACCTTGAAGGAAGGGGCCCTGAATATATAGGATTCCTAAAATTTAGGTTTCCTTCTTTTGCCATGTTTATCCAGGTAAATGCAAATGCAGTTAAGACTTTCCCAGGTAAATGCAGTTAATTTATCAAAAAAAAAAAAAAAGTTCTTTTGCACTAACCACTTCTTTTTGATATCACTTTTACTATGGGTTGTGTTGCTGGTAGGGGCATTTTAATTCTACATCTGAAAGTGTAATAATTATATTAAGAGGGGTATATTGGTATTGGTGAATTTTTCTTTCCTCTGAACTTTTGAGTGTAATAATTACATTAAGAGGGGTATATTGATATTAATGAATTTTTCTTTTCTTTGGACTCCGAATGTAGAGAATCTTGTTCTGAATTTTAAATTTTGAAAATTATCAAATATTCATTTTGACCCTATATATGAGAGTTTTTGTTTATCTTTTTGGGGGTATCATTGGAAAACAAAAAGTTGTATGATTACACTTTAAGGAATAAGAAATGAGAGGAAACAAATACTCAATTTTATCTTAAAGTTAAAAGATTCCTCTTAAGAGATAGAGTTAAGATGAAATGAATAAAACTTGATTTATACACTTGTGAAAAGGATGACACTTGTTGGGGGAGGGGGAGAGAGAAGTTTAAAAATTTATCCAAGGTAAGATGCATTTTCGTTGACCCTTACAGTCTGCAAAAGAATGCAGGTTGGCTAACTTCCCCCCTCTTTTATGGTGCAAAAGAACATGGCCTTATTGTTTGTGTGTATTTGCCAAATACCAATGGCTTTCAATTTCCCTTGTTTGCAATTACAACTGTATCTAAAATGTAGGCAAAATTTATGATGCAAGTATTATACTTTAAAGCATTTAATATGGACCAACGATAAAAGATCACGTCACAATTGACTTCTTTAATGTTGTTAAAGTTAGATTATAAATACACCTTATTAAATCTTTAAAGAATATATCTTGTGAAATGTGAATAAATGAAAGTATACCATGTGAAGTTGAATATTTCTTTAATGTTGTTAAACAATTAAAGTCAGATAGTAAATACATTTTATGAAATATTTAAAATAAACTTGTCAAATATGAACCAATGAAAAATAGACCATCTGAAGTTTTTTAAGGTGATTGATTGAAATCTTGATCTAATGTGCAATAAATATTGATAAATGCATCTTAATTGAACTCAATATTATATCTTTAGCAATCTACGCATTTTCTTTGTGAAGATTGACAGGAAGCTATAATGGATAACTACATGCCTAAATGTTTGAACGTTTAAAAACAAGTGATGTGAGATGCCACTTTAATAAAGCGAAAGCTAATGATTACCCCAAGAAAGTGAAGTTATTGGACCAAGATTCAAAAAATCGTTACGTATCGGCCTATATCGTATGGGGCCCTTTTCGATATGCCCCTACAGGGGTTGTATTAGGTTAGGGCTTGGTTCAGAGGGTAGTTGGGACTTAAACTGGCCCCTTTGAACCAAAATCGAAAAAAAGTGAAAGTTAAAAAAAAAGGACCGATGCTGTCTGATATGCCCTATTGGTGTATCGACCAGCATCGATACTTTGAACCTTGTATTGGACTACTGGTTCTCTAAACCAATTCAATAAGATTTAAGGGAAGAGTGGTTTAAAATATCAATATCTCTAGTATTGCATGGCAATTTTAAAGATACATATTATGATAATGTAAACCAATGGATACGGTGGAATGATTAGATTTAGCATACTTGAGGGCATAGTAGGAAAATTCCACTAAATACTTAAAAATATTGATTTTAATAAGGGTAAGTGATACTGCATTCTTTAGTTCAGTTTCTTGGATTCATTTTGATTTTTTTTTTGGTTTTAATGAGCACCCCTAGACAGGATCAAGATGTTTTAGGTGAATCAATATCAATTCCATTAAATACTTAAAAATATTGATTTTAATAAGGGACATTTACTAGAACACCCCTATAGTTTCACAGATTTACTTAAACCTACCCTATAGTCCGCATTTTACTAAAACACTCCTTATAGTTTGCAACCTATTTACTTAATCGACCTTTCATTAACAACTACTTGTTTTGTCATATGAAAATAGTAACATGATCACCTAAATTAAGTGAAAAATGTTTCAGGTCATGTACCCATGTTGTTTTTTCCAAAAGTACCCCTAAATTGAGTGGAAAATGTTCTAGGGGTATTGATCCATGGTTGTTTATTCCAAAAATACCCCTAACATTTATTTGTATAGAAAACAAAATTGACCAATTAGAAAAAAAATAGAGTGGTTGTCTGTGTTTTATTAGGGGCAAAAATAGCATTTTTGTTTCTAGTTTCTTTTCATTAAATTTATATAACTGATGTTAGTGTTAAAACTTTCAGTTTTGACTTTCATCTAATGAAAGGTTGATTAAATAAATTGATTACAAACTATAGGAAATGTTTTCATAAAACACAAACTATATGATAGGTTTTAATAAATTCATAAAACTATAGGGATGTTTTAGTAAGTGACCCTTTTAATAATCATTTTTTTTTGTTTTTCAATTTTGTAGTTGAAATGGAATGAACATCCCTTGATGGAAACACTTCTCATATGGGTAAAACAACACCGAAAGAGAGGGCTATTCCATCAGATCCATGTGATGTCAACATCAAAACCTGTGTATGGCCTGTATTCATTGTATCAAATTTGATACTTTCAAAACCTTGGAAAAAGGACAAAATACAAAATGCTTATGAACTTTCCTACCAAAAATAGGTAAAGATTCAGATTGTTAGGGTCGGATGATTGTGCACTTTAGCAACCCGAGAAAGCAAATAACATACAAAACGAGATGAAAGTGAGGGTGGGGTTCACATAGAAGTAAATTTAAATTTTATTAAAAACTTGTGTTTTTTTTAGAAAATTCCTGATCAGTACCTGTACTTTGTCTCGAATGAAAATTTGGTCACTGTACTTTAAAATGCGACAATTCAGTACTCAAACTTTCAAAATGTGACAATCCAGTACTTGCCGTTACCCAGTCCGTTAATCAACTGTTAAGTGACATTTCAAAAGTCAATAATGCCCTAAGAATGCCATCTAATTCTTTTTATCAACCATCCAAACATTGACAATAAAATGAACAGTCCCAAATTCTAGATTCTTCTAAATAGTCACCAATGTTTTTGAATAGAAGAAGCTAGGATTTGGGACTGTTTAGTTTTTTGACAATGTTTGGACGGTTGATAAAGAGAATTAGATGGCATTCAAAGGGCATTTTTGACTTTTCAAATGTCACTTAACGGCTGATTAATGAACTGGTTAATAGAAGGTATTGGATTATCACATTTTGAAAGTTCATGTACTGAATCGTCACATTTTGAAAGTTCGAGTACTTGATTGTCGCATTTTAAAGTTCGGGGACCAAATTGTCACTCGAGCCAAAGTACATGGTACTAATCGGGAATTTTCCCTTTTCTTTGTGTGATGCAACAAGAAAAAAAGAATCAAATTATCCGCTCATTTTCTGCTATCTTTCTTGTAAGACCTCTCGCTTTCTTTGGGGCCATTTGGTAAATTTTTTTGAAAGATCCTTTGGAAGTTCTGATAGTCAAAAGATGATGTGAGCTTTTGCATCAAGATCTTAGTAGTTTAAAGACTGGTAAGGCATGTCTATCCATGCAAAGACGAATTGAAAAAAAAAAGACGAAAAGCTCCATTTGGAGCTTCCCAAAAATAGCCTGAAATGGGCTTTCTGTGTCTTTTCGGGGCTGCGGCTTTCGATGACTAGATCTTTTCCCAACTAAATTGAAAAATGCCAAAGTGCGAGTTGCTGGGCTTCAAAAAAGCTAACAGC